AAGCTGTTAGGCTGTAAGCAGAAGATTATTGATTTGCTTCCAAAGATTGAAGTGGCTTTGAATAACATCAAGGAGGCTGACAGCTCAGTAATGCAGATGCAGGGCAAAAGGCAGAGGGAGATCTGGCATTTGCTGAAAATTGCTTGTGTAAGTGACTTTAGGATTGAAATCCATATATGTTAACAATAACCTCTACAGCCAGGCACTGTGCCACCTTGGCCTTGGGAGTGGGTGGTGCGGGTGGCGTCCAACTCTGCCCCTCTCCCTTGGCAAAGGCCAGGAGGGTGCCCGGTTCCCTGGCACCCTATGAGAGGGGTAGGGAGGAGGCCTCTGGCTGCCTGCTGGAGTACTGGGCTGGGCAGTTGGTGGCAGAGGGGCTGTGGGACACTAGTGACATAATCCCATCACTCTGTTGGGGGTGTGTGTGTGTGTGTGTGTGTGTGTGTATATATATATATAGGGGAGAGCGCCATCCTTTGGCATTAATGTATATTTATCTTTAATTATGCTTATAATGCTCTGATCTCGAGTTTCTTGGCACATATATAGTGTAAACTCCAATGGAACAGGACTAAAATATCCTCTGAATATGTCCATCCACTGAATATGTGCATGAAGAATAATTCTGCTTCTATTCTAGACTCAGAGTTCTGCTCGATCTCTTGTGAGTTCCAGCATCGAAAGTGCAGCCACACCTCCAACTGCTACATGGCTTCCTCCAAACTCGAGCAACATACCCCATCCTCTCTCTTCTATGGCAGTTCCTAGAGATGGGTAAGAGCCAAGGATGAGAGGTTATTGCTAAGACCAGTCGGCCTCTTTTTGGAAGAGTATCCCTATTTTATATGCATGAGCTCTGAAAGCTTGCCCTCCCTCATGCATTTGTAGTGGAGACAGGCTCCAAATGTGATACAGTAGCAGTTTGACCAGATGACAAGTATCAGCGGGGTGGCCATGTTAGTCGGAATCTGCAAAAACAGCAAGAATTCCTGTGGCATCTTATAGATTAACAGATTTATTTGGGCATAAGCTTTTGTGGACTAAGACCCACTTTGTCAGATTCATTTTGAACAGATGAGTGTTTCCACTCATCTTTGAGATCTCCAGTAGAATAACACCTCTCTGGAACTCTGCCCTGTCCCGAGTGAAGTGCAGTGAACCATTCCTAACTCAGTCTGTGTCCTATGGCTGGAAGCTTTCTATGTCACTCCCTTGGTATCAGCAGAGTGGTATAGCAGATACAGTTTTAGGATACTTCTTGGTAATGTTGCTGTTCAGTCTTCACTGGGGTTATAAGGATGTATAGACATGCTGTGTGTCAAGGTTCCAGAGGCAGCTATTTTCTCTTCCGTTGCTTTTAGTTTTATGGACCTAGAGGATTCTCTATCTTGGAATCCCATCCTTTACTCAGATGGAGTTCTCTTGTCAGTGTCTGCTGCAGGCATGATTTGGGATGATTATTGAAGTTCTCTTTTGATGAGAGAACATTTTTAATGAAGTCAGCTAATTTTCAGAAGGGGGAATCTGTCTGAGGGGCCCTGCTATGGAAGCATGCAAGGCACATTGCTGTATAAAACAGGATAGAGTAACTTGCACAATTACAGATAAACTGCTGTAAATTTATCTTTTCCACTCCCCCATTCTGCTCCTTCTGGAGAAGTGAATCCGTCACAGTTTAAATCTGCATCCTTTATCCCTTTTTTGTAGGGAAGTTTTTGCCCGTGTGATAGAAGAGAATCTGAACTATCTTGACCGCTTCAGCACTATTATTCAAGAGGCAAAACAGGAGCAGAACAGCAGCATGATGGTAAGTCTGTTTCTGTGATTGAGGCTTGACTTCTCAAAGGTGTCATTGGCATCAGGTAGAAGATTTAACTTACTGAGCTCTTCCTGTAAACCTCATTTTTTGAGGAATAAGGAATCTTGTGCAAAAGTGGTGGTGGTTTTTTTGTTTGTTTGTTTTTGTTTTGTGTTTTTTTTCCTGATACATGGCCCTGTCTACACTGCGGGTTTTTTTTCGCAAATACCTCTTCCGCAAAAAGGATCAGAAGAGAATATGCAAATGACAGTGCGAGATTTGCAAATGAGCGCTTCATTTGTATTTCCTCTTCTGAAAAAAACAGTGTAGACGTGGCCTTATTGGGATAACCAGTTAACTGGTGCCTGGGCCCAGCTGGAGTAGTCACCGCAGCGCAGTGGGTGGTTAGCCAGTTAAACCTATAGTTTAATTGGTTAACATACTGCACGGGATTTGACATCCCTGTTAAATATGTGCAGTGTCCTGGTCTGCTGCTCACAAAGGATATGAGGTGCATTGGCAAAACAATCACCTAAAGAATCCTGCTCCTGGCTCTGGAAATGTGCAAAGCGATGGGGCTGTTCAAGCAGGCGATGTTGGTGGGGGGTATTGTCTCTCAAGGTCCTGTTATAGAATGGAATAAACTGCCCTGCAGTAAACCTTTTCTCCTCTTGCTGAGCCCTGTCCACCCTTTGGCTGCGTCTACACAGCAAAGTTATTTCAGAATAATGGCGTTATTCCGAAATGACTGTGCAAGCGTCTGCACAGCAGTAGCGCTATTTCGAAATAATTTTGAAATCACAGGAGGCTTATTCTGACTTCTGTAAACCTCATTCTATGAAGAATAATACCTATTTCGGAATAGGGGCTGTGTAGATGCACCATTTCTGCTATTTCGAAATAGCCCCTCACCAGGGCCATTCTAACTTCTTCCTCCCCAGTGCCTCCTGGGGCTCTAAATTGAAATAGCATATCTGTATTAGGGAAGCCTGTCTCGGACTAATTTTGAGGCTTCCCTGCAGTGTAGATGTGCAATTTTGAAATAAGCTATTTCAAAATAACTATTCCAGAATAGCTTATTCCGAAATAAATGTGCAGTGTAGACATAGCCTTTGACTTGAGGGGCAGAAAAAATGGGCGTAAGGTTCAGAAGGAGGAGGAGGAGCAAGTGGTGTGGTTGGACAAATCTGATGTCATTCTGGGGTCTGAATTGGAAGATATTTCACCTTTCTCTAAATAATGAGGAATGGGAATTCGTAAGTCAGTGGGCTAGGCAGAACCTGGGGGCCAGCTAGTCCTCCTGTGCTTTCCCTTGAGAAGACAAGGGATGTGTTTGAACACAACTGTAATGGATGAAATGAGGCTCTTCCCATGAGCACTCAGTATGGTGTCCAGACTCATGATGAAGATCTCCTGTCGGACGCCAATCTCTCCTGGTAGCTTGCTCTGGTGCAAGCTGTTTATGCAGCCACATTAGATAAACGTCCCTCCTTCCACAATGACGTTAAGCTACTCTCCTAACTGGAAGGTTAGCTGTTCCCTCCCGTACACTTGGTTCTGGGAATGATGATCTATGAAGCCATGATAAAACCAGCATGCTTCCACTCCTCACCAGCCACTTGAAAGCATGTTAAGGGGGCACTGTTCTTATGCATGTAATTGTTGTGGCAGCTATATAATAGAGTAATGAAGAATTTTCCCAAAACAGGAGCAGCCCATGGCCAGCATAATTTGCACCTTGTGGATCCCATAAACCCTGGTGTAGGATTGGAAAGGGATGTAGAGTAGCCAGAGTGAGCACTGGATTCCTGAACAGCTACAGGCAACCCTGGGGAGGTTACTGTAAGTTAGGGCAGAGCCCTGTTGCCCAGAATCCGGAGGGTAAAACGTGTTGTAAAGTCTCCATGGCCTTTTCTCTTGGGCTGCACCTTTCAGAGGCACAGCACAAACTAGCTTTTTGTGTCTGGTTTTGATGACTCTGTGTTGCTTACTACATCTCACCTTATTTTCCTCTAATTTACAAAACAGCTGATTGCGAATAGCTGTGACACTTTACAGGGGATTGCTGCTGAGACCACAACCTAGGGCCAATTAGTGTCAGCTAATGTGGTAGGTTTGTGATAGTAAGGGACTGAGCTGGCACCATTAACTCATTTCATGTTGCTACCCAGTAGCCTTCAGCCAGTAAGGACATCTGATTCCTTGCATATCCATGTCAAATGAAACCAGTAGCTTAGCGACAAAAAGTTAACTGTTGACTTGTGTCTGCTGCCTGAGTTTCAGTAGCTCAGACCCTGACACTGAAAAATCCTCATTTCTGGATTTTCATCTGTTCCTCTCCAGTGCTGACAATAGATGCTGGGTGGCATTACATAGTTGCTGTTTGTGAAATTTCAGAAGCCTTTAATATACCTTAATTAGGTGTGTTTGTTAACATCAGGTTTTGGGTAGTTAAAACACTTCCCCTTTCAATCTCTCCTTATAATTCCAAGACTGACATCAGAGAGCGGTTTTGGACAATGCAGGCTCCCAGGCAGGTGATGGTTGGTTTGAAAATTAAATTTACTGAACTCTGGTTACTCTTTTGCTTTCTTTTTAGAGTCTTGATTGGAGTTGGCTGAAATAACTAAGGAAGAAAAATAGGCACTGTTGCCATCCCCAATATGACCATGTGCTCAAGGTTGGCTGACTCTGTGATGAGATGAAACAGCCCAGTATCAGTCCTATAGTGCTGATTCCACACGCTGCTGATCCAGGACTGAATAATCTCTCTCCCACTGCATCTGGATGACAGTTCTGTGAGAGGGATTTTGTGTTTTGTAAACATTAGCAGACTTGATTATAGAGTACATGGGCAGCAACAGAGACTTTGCTTTGGATGTTTTGCTGCTAGAGGCAAATGTTTTTCAATCTGCTGCCTCATGTCGGGGCTTTTAAATCCATACTGAGGTACCTAAAGAAATGGCCTGATTTTCAGAGATGCTCAGTGACCCTGGCTCCCACTACATCCCTGAGGGCTGCAGATGCTCACCACTTTAGAAATTACACCCTTTCTACTTAGAAGCTTTTTAGGCACCCGGGTTTGGTTTGAAAATGTTTGCAATAGCCAAATAGGGTCTTTCTAGCAACAGGACCTATCTGACAGATGCTGCTGGGGAAGGCAACTGTTGCTCTGACTGAAGAACTAAGATCAGGGCACTATTTGCAATGATCTATCTGTGGAGAACTTCTTTTGGCCGGAGATACCCTGTCTCCGCATTTGACGTTAATTTATCTTGGTGCTAGAGCAACTGTATGCTCTGTAAGAGAAGCAGAGGCAGCAGGTACCTGAAAGATGTTTGCCTTATGTCTTCTGAGTAGGAAGAAGGTAGCAAGTGCCTCCTAGATGCAGGCAGATTTCTGCCTTAAGTGGCCAAGATGCACAGTACAAGCAGCAGCAGTATTTTCAGTGTTGTGCTGTAGTGCTGAGCTGTTGCACCCTCTTTCTCTGGGGCTGGCATCTCGCATTTAGAATCCCACTGGAAAATGACACATTGCCTACATTATCTTGCTCCTGTCCCCCAGCATCTCAACCCTCAGAGCCCAGATTGGGGAATGTAGTTTCTGATGGATAAAAGAAAAATAATGGCCATAGCTTGCCACCTTTGCTGTATACTCTTGTATACCAAGAAGAGGTTTTGACAGGTGTTTCTTACTGTTCAGGAAATTCTCCTCGATTCCAAACACAGTTTTATATCCACTGGCTCCTTAAAATATTTAAGAATTCCATTTGTTAATTTGTGATAAATACTATCTTATGTAGAATCTTTTTATGATTCTTTTTCTGTTCCAGATTTGTGTCATTGTAAAGATTCTACCCTCAAATGGTCTGACTTGCCAATGTTCAGTTTGGGCAGGATGTAGGTGGGGAAGATAACAGGCTACCTGGACTTCAGTTTGCAGGAAAGGTTTTCAGCACTGGCTAGTGATTTGGGGTGTGCAACCCAAGCTCTTTAACGGGATTTGATTTTTTTTTTTCTTTCAGAGGGCAGGTCCTCATACTTTCTGAAAATCATGCTCTTTTAAAATGTCTTACTTGAAAATCTTGATTCTTGCCTGTCTCTCTCCATTACTCTTTCTATAAGGATAAATTGCTGTAACACATTTCAAAACCAGTTAGCCACGAAGCAACAAGTTCACCTCACTATTCAGTACTTAGGTTTGGTAAGTGAGGTGAACTTGTTGCTTCATGGCTAACTGGTTTTGAAATGTGTTACAGCAATTTATCCTTATAGAAAGAGTAATGGCAACAAAAAAAGTGAAGAAAACTATACATTTCACATCCCCCACAAAGTAACCAGTAGTACACTAAGTGAGCGTCCATTCCCTTGCCTGCTGGTGCAGTCATTTACACACGTGCAAGGTGAGTGTACATTTTGCGCTGGTGTGAGTGACCAAGGATACAATACAATGGCAGTTCTCAAACTGTGGGTCAGTACCCCAATGTGGGTGTCAAATCCATTTTAATGGAGTCACCCTGACTGGCTTACACTTGCTAGGGCCTGGGGCTGAAGCCAAAGCCTGAGGGTATCCATGCTATGTAGCTGGGCTCAGGTTACAGGTCCCCTGCCTGGGGCTTTGGCTCCCCACCTAAGCCAGCAGAGCTCAAGCAAGCTCAGACTTGGATCTCCCTCCCTGGGGTCATGTAGTAATATGGGTCAGAAGGGGTCATGGTACAATGACATTTGAGAGCCTCTGCAATGGGAAATTGGGCTCACTGGTGAACTAAGCACAAAAAGGCATATTTCATCTAGTGGCAAACTGAATTCTGATCAGTGGGATTAAAACGAACTCTCGAAGGAAAATATATCTAAGTGTCTTCTGGGTCTGTGCTGCTTCATACACCAGAGATCACTACATTGGTTTTGCCCATTCTCAGTGTAGCCTCAAGCCCCTCCCACCTTTAAGTTACTCAGTGCAATTTCTGCTTGGTGCCATCCTCCACAAGCTTTCTTAAGTTAGAAATAAGGGGTGTGCAGACATTTTGCTATTCACCAGTAAGGTTTCCATCCATTAGTCTGCGCTTCTTGCATTTGATGTGTCTCATAGCAGAAAAAGTCTGCATGTGTATGTTGATCCAAAATTTGACATCTTATTGCAATGCAGTACTGGAGAACTAGACTATGGGTATTCAACCAAAGTTCTCATGTGCTTTTTCTCTTTAGCTGGTTAATTTCATCTTCATCCAGGGCACTAACATGAATTATTTACTTCTCAAACTTCCTTTTATCAACTCCAGTCCTTTGATATACTACTTCACACTTTCTCAGATGAAATTCAAATAGTTTTGAGAACAATAAGAGGAAGGACTTCAGATCGCTGAGAAGAAAAGCAGTTCTCAAAACTCCCTGCTGGTGTAAACAGTACTTGTATGTGAAATGATGGATCATAGTCATTTCCTTGATCAGTGTGCTTCATGGGGGGAAGGGAGGGGCTTTTTCCAAATGTGGCAAGTGTGTGTCACATGAAGTGTCACATGCAGGTAACGGAGCTGACATTAACTAAAGGTGTAACATGAATTTTCTGACACTAGCATTTAGTATGAGCAAGCAGTGTTTTTTTCCCCCCCTTGCAATGTCTCATTCAACACCTTCAGGTGACCAGTTATGATAAAAGCTAAAATCCCATTTTTATTTTCTGACTTTGCGTGCATTTGAAATTTCTGAGCAAGAAACCCTTTGATTTCTGGTAGAAGTGCCAGGAAGAGGTCCAGTACTTCACCACAGGGTAACCACTGCACTTCAGTGTGCATGACAAGATCTTCATATTCTGTTTCAATTTGTTCCATCAGTTCCACAAACTGATGGTGATGCAGGGAGCAAGCATGAACTAAGTTAATAATCTGTATCACTTTGTCCATTACAGCTTTCAGTGTGTCTCCCTTGTTAAGTTTAGCATAGAGCATCTCTTGGTGTATTATGCAATGCACATTGCATATGTCAGGTACACAAGATTTCAACAAAGCCATGGCATTTTGCTGTCATGGAGGAGCGCCTATCTGTTGAAACTGATACCTTTGATATACCTTTTTTGGTACCAAAAGAATTGTAACTTGTACTCTCTTAAAATCAGTAACTGTCAGAGAAAATGCTGAGCCTTGTGCTCTCCCATTTATTCCCAAGAAATCTAAGAATTCTTCTGTCGTGTTCAACACAATGAATGCGTGTGCAGAGCTGAGTAATGTTATTAATATCTTTGCATTCATGCAGGGCTATCCTGATAGCCACACTTGAACATACAGTTATGAAAAACTAGTCTTCCTGATGATTTGACTTCATTTCTGTAAATATTGTAAACAATAAAATTTTAGTAATAGCGGTTTAGAGTCATTTTTGTTAGGTAGATTCTGGGGATTTCCCCATCCCAGGCTGCACCATCTTGTGGTAAAGGATTAAGATTATGCCTAGGATTCCACGCTTCAAGAATGGCATTTCTTGTCTCCGATCCTTCCTGGTCAGCAGTGATCATTTAGAGATACCTGTATTGCTTTGGAGACACTCACCTCTTCAAGTGGAATATCTACCATTCCTTTCCCCGGTAATCCCAGGAATTCAGACTTAGGAAGCGTCTCATGGCTTGTGCTATGGGCCTCTCCTGATCTGGACCAGGCAGACCCCCCCGTCTACATTGGTGGAAGTATTGAACATACCACCCAGCTCTACTGCCTCTCAGATGGGGGGAGCGAAGGTAGAATATATTCCTGATTGAGTTCCTTGAGTATCACTACTTAACAAATAAAAGATAGAGGGGGGACTTGATTTCAGTAAGTTAATATCCAAGTGGGGAACATTTTAATAATGGGCTTTCCAATTTAGTGGAGAGAGGTGTAATAGGACCCAGTGGTAGTAAACTAAAGCTAGTCAGACTGGAAACAAGATGTACATTTTTAACTAAGAAATTAACCAGTGGAATGACTTTGAGATCATAACCGATTTTTCCATCATTGGCTGTTTTTCCTAAGATCCATGCTCCAGGAATTATTCTGGAAGAGCACCCGGCCTGCGATAGGCAGTCTAAGGAGATGGCCATAAAGGTCCCTTCTGACCATGGAATACGAATTCAGGTTATCCCCTTGGCTGTTTGCTTTTATTGCTGAAAGATCTAAGGATCAGGCAGTTTCAACCCAGAATATTTCTGGGTGGATGTCAGGTTGTATGAAGTTAGGTTAGGAGATGGCCAATTTACAGTTACCCAGAAACAATAGGGACAGAGCCTTGTTTATAGGTTATTCCAACAGCTGATAATTGTAGGGATGCTATTTGTTTGTGAATATACATTCCTCTAATTATTGTGGAGGTGTCATGTGCTCACTTGGTTGGGACTGTATTAAAATACCTATTTAACTAGACTTGCAGTAGTGCCCTCTGCTGTGTAATAGACTCCCTGTGAGTCACCTGATTTGGATCTTGTATTGACAAGCACAAAAGAAAGGAAAGTTATTTACCTGTTCAGTAATTAGTATTTTCTAAGAGTTCACAATCCGCCCTTCTTTCCCCACAACTGCCCAGTTTGATACCTTGAGCTGGGTAGTGCAAGTGGGGCAGGCTGCATAGTGCCACGGTGAGAGGAGTGGTGGGCCTGGTGTGGGCACTACATTGACTCCTTCCCCTCCTTGTGTGGGTCCCACCTGCACTGAGCCCTGCAGTCCACTGTGATGCTGTTCAGTACAAGCCCAGCACTCAGCCCTGCTCCCTTGTGGCTCCGCCCAGTGCTACCCTGGCAATGAGTCCTGCCACTCTTGTGATGCTGCCCAGTGCTAGCCTGGGACTGAGTTCTGCCCTCCCCTTTGTGATACTGCCCCATGTCACTCCCAGCATTGAGTCCTGCTTCCCTCCTGCCACCACTTAGTGTGTTGCCCATAGCACTGAGCCCTGCCCCTCCTTGTGACACTGCCTAGTGTCACCACCACCACTGAGCCCTCCCCTCCCTTGTTACACTGCCCAGGCCTGATGAGTGCCTACACGAGCTGGGGGGAGCACGCTACCTCCCGACAATGGACCTCACCAAGAGCTATTGGCAGGTGCTGTTGGACTCAGATGCCAGACTGAAATCTGCTTTTATCACCCCTTTGGGGTTATATGAGTTCCCAGTCCTGCCTTTTGGCCTCCAGGTACCTGCCACCTTCTAGCGCATGGTGGACCAGCTGCTGAGGGGGATGGAGAGTTTTACCCTGGCTTACAGTGATGATATTTGTGTTTTTAGCCAGACTTGGGAGGATCATGTGTTCCATGTAAGCCAAATGCAGGATCATAAAATCTGGGAAGTGCAAGGTGGGGATGGCAGAAGTCTCTTATTTGGGCCATAAATAAGGGAGAGGCTAAAGTGACAGCTGGCCAAGGTGGAGGCCATCAGAGATTGGCCAGTCCCCCAGACTGAAAAGCAAGTCCAGGCCTTCATTGGATACTACAGGAGATTTGTGTCTCACTTTAGCTCCATCGCTGCCTCCATCACTCAGCTGCGTAAGAAAGGTAAGCCAGACAAGATGGTCTGGACTGAGCAGTGCCAGAGGGCTCTCAGCATGCTGAAAGAGACCTTGGTTGGGGCTCCAGTACTGGTAAATCCAGACTTTGACAATCCCTTTATGGTGTTTACCCATGCCTCTGGTGGCTGGGTGTGATGCTAATGCAGGTGGACAAAAAAAGGAAGAGATGCCCCATTGTATACTTGAGCAAGAGGTTGCTGCCTTGCAAACAGAACTGTGTACTCATAGTGAAGGAATGCCTGTCTATGGTGTGGGCTCTTAGAAAACTGCAGCCATATGTATTTGGGTGGCATTTCAAGGTGTACACGGACCACTCTCCCCTGACCAAATGAAAGGGTGAATACCAAGCTGCTGCTATGGAGTCTGCTCCTGCAGAATCATGACACAGAGGTGGTCCATGTTAAGGGGAGTGCTAATGTCATAGCCAATGCTTTATCACAGAGCAGGGGCCCCGAACTTCCCCAGGCCACTGGCTCAGTGACCCTGCTCCGTTTGGTCTCGAAGGGAGAAGAGATGCGATGAAATGGGGGACTGTGTTCGCTCTGTTCGCTATGTTATGTGATCTCTACTACTATGTTATGTAATCTCTATTACTGGGTAGTAACCCAGTGCATGTGCCTTAGTTTCCCTGGGCACTTCACCAGGAGTGAGATGCTGATGCGAATTTCAGTGTCGGTCTCCTGCAGGTACACAATGGCTGATGCTTTCTGTACCGTGAGCCTGGGTGGGGGTGTCCTGTAAGCAGGACGCAGGCTGCAGAAGGGCTGGAGCAGGCTTTGGGGTGTTTTAAGTCTTGGGGGGCAGAGACGGGGCTCTGTTCTGCCTGCTGGCTGGCGGTCAGTGCTGGCTGCAGATGAGGGTTTGGGGCCCCCCACACACACTGAC